TTGCATCTTGGTTTAAAAATAGTGATGTGTATAGGCTGAACAGAAGTTTACTCATGCTATGAATTGTGTTTTCGATTTTTTAAAAAAAAATTTTAATTTCCCCTAATTTCAAAATGGAACCAAGAAAGAGAAAATATTCTTGAAAAATTTTGCCTGGGAGCTTTTTTTAAAAACATTCTCTAAGCCCTCGCTAACTTGCGACAAGTTAAAGCCAAATAAATAAACCACAAAGCTACCCAGTACTACTAGCAAAACCGTATTAGTTGCAAGGGGAAACTAGACAAGCCTGAAGAACCAGGCCCTGCGCCTAATTTCTGTACTCCGGGGAAAGGCAGCCAGTAGCTTCCTGTCTTTTTCACCGAGGAGCCTGGTGAATGAGACTCAAGAGGGAGTTGCTAACAGAGGTACAGTGTCTTATATTTAAGAGTTTCTCTCTCAAAGCCTGGGCCTCATAAAACTCATCGGAACAGTGGTATCCGTGATGTCTTTCCTTACCTCACTACTTACAGATTTTCCAGTTAAAGGGGGAAGGTAAATTAAAAACAGAAAAATTCAGTTTGTCTCAAAATTGGTATAGTATTGCATATGTCTGCCAGTAAAATCCCGGTGTAGGTTTTTCATTTTTTTTAAGCTAATGAAATAAAACCTTAATTAACCAGAATTCATAATTTAATGGAATTTCCCCCATGTGGGAGGCATTTTGATTTTAGAAGCAGGCAGCAATAAGATAGTGTTAACAGTTTTTAACAGAATGTCTAATCGGGTTCTCCTTGTTACTTCTGTAGCAGTTTTCATTACTTTGGGATGAAAACCTGTGGTAAAACCTAACTGTTGCTGAGATAAGGCTGAGCAGATGGATAGAGAAATATTTTAGTAATTTTAACCCAGTGAAACTTTTTTGTAAAGATAATTAGGTGTGTGGAATTCACAGGAAAATTAAGTGAGTGCAGTGGTTGAGGTGTGATTGTTCACATCCTCACCTTTCAATCCAGGATTGAGAATTCTGGTGCTGCTGGCCATTTGGGGTTCCCTTTTCTGAGACAAAGGTAGTGATTATTGAAAGTGGGCAGAATTCTGCCTTATAAAGCAGAACCAAAGCCTGTTAACATTCACAAGTGAATAAAGCTACGGGGACCCGACTGTTGTAACAAGCAGCGTCAGGAAGGGGAGAACTTCCTTAGTGATGAGAATAGCAAAGCAGATGCCCTTGGTAAGCCCCAGCTTCCCCTTCTGTGCACACCCCATCCGTCAACCTGTTTTGACTGCTGCAGTGTGCATGCATGTCCTGTAAATTTTAAGAGGAGAAGCTTGGGCTTAGGAGTTCACGTTGCTCAGAAGATAATTCAGTGTCCCATCTTTCCCTGCAAAATGACTCAAAGTGTGACTGTAAAGGACATTTGAAGGAAAAAAGAAGTTATTTCCTGATCACCCTCCTTAATTTGGCTTCTGTGATTGTATGCTAATGTTTCATGTTTTTTGAACCAACAAGAGGAATTACCAAAAATCATAAAGGAATTCTTGAATGCTTATCAAGGCCATTGTGCTACTGCCAAGCAGCAATAAATCTAAACTATCCAAAACTAGTGAGATTCAGACTCTGTTAAAGAAGACTTCACAGCCAGTTTCTGGCTTAATTTTTTTCCAGCTTTTTCAGTACGTCGACTAGCATCAATTATTCATTTTGTAGTTATAAGAGTTCTGTTAAAGTCTGGTAGTGAAATATGCATCATCTAGGAAAAGTTCATTAGCTTGTGAGGGTGGTGCAGGACTGATTGGGCAGTATTTCATTCTTTTGTCAGTAGGGCCACTATGAGTTGGAACTGACTTGATGTCACCTAACAACAAGAACAGGAAAAGTTTTTGATACAATAGTCTAAATAAATAATTCTCTGCCAAATCCTAGTGAATTTAGCCAGGTAGCTTAGCTTGCATTCCGCACTCCCCCCACCTTTAGGTTGAAAGACTGTGAAAATAGCAGATGATTTTTTAAAGAGTATTATGTATTTTTAAATATTATTTTTACATTGTCTTCTAGAATTAAGTCTAAAAAAGTTACAAGTAAGTTTTAAAAAATACACTGTTTAAAATATAATGTAAGCATAGTGGCTATTTTTTATTTTAAAAAATATTTAATGATTTAGCTTCTGTGCAAAGTACCATACTTTAGCACGAGAAGAGATATAAATACGAGAGGTTCTATTATGATGGAGTTCACATTCTGGGAGAGAGATAACTGGTAATTGATATGTTGTATAATGCTTGGTGGATGTGAGGATACCTTTAGGGCAGGGCACATTTGAATCACTTGAGATTTGCTGGTAGCTGAAAATCGGATATGTGAGTGTGTAATTGAGAGAGAAACAGAAGAAATTTGTATGATTGGAATAAAAGCATCAAAGTGTTCAGGGGATCACTGAGGACTGGGAAAGTAGTCTGGTGTTGTTAGAACGTGGAGTTGGTTTGCAAGGGAATCATAGTTCAAAGGTAAGCTGAGCCCAAAAGAATGGGTTAGATTTCAGTAAAGGGGGTCCTGGAGTAGGGGTTGGGAGCAAGAGGGCGGCCCCTTAAAGGGCGTTTTGGGGAATGGACATGACTGACTCGCATGTACAATGCATGTGGCAGCCTGGCGCAGAGACACTGGAATAGTTTCTAGAGTAGGACTGTACCAGATTATGCAGGGACTTAATGCCAGAATAAGGATTTCAAGTTTATTCTGCAACAGTAGTCATCAAAGAATCCTTAGTTACTTAGTGCTGCTATAACAAAAATTACTACAAGTGGGTGATTTTAAGGAACAGAAATTTATTTTCCCTAGGGTTCAGGAGGCTAGAAGTCCAAATTCAGAGTGTGGCTCTAGGGGAGTGTCATGGATTGAATTGTGTCCCTCCAAAATATCTGTCAACTTCGCTGGGTCATGATTCCCAGTATTGTATAATTGTGTATCATTTTGTAATCTGATGTGATCTCCTTACATGTTGTAAACTCTAAATCACTATGATGTAATAAGATGGATTAGCAGCTGTTACACTGATGAGGTCTGCGGGATTGGATAGTGTCTTGGGCCAATCTCTTTTGAGATATAAAGGAGAGAGAGGCTAGTGAAGAGACATGGGGGCCTCATAGCACCAAGAAAGCGGTGCCAGGAGTGGAGCGCGTCCTTTGGACGTGGGGTTCCTGTGCGGGGAGGCTCCCAGACCAAGGAAAGACTGATGCATCACAAGGACCTTCCTCCATCGCTAACAGAGAGAGAATGCCTCCTCCTGGAGCTGATGCCCTGAATTTGGACTTGTAGCCTACTGAGCTGTGAGAGAATAAACTTCTGTTTGTTAAAGCCATCCTGTTGTGGTATTTCTGTTATGACTAAGACAGGAAGGTTGTTCCTTGGCCATAGCGCTGGGATGTCTGTCTTTCTTGTGTGTCTCTGTGCCTGTTCTGCTCTTTTTATGACTCGGAAGTGATTAGATTTAGACATTCCCTACTCTGTTATGGCCTCATTAACAGAACAAAACAAACTCCCTTGTTTCCTGGTGGTCATGTTTACAGGGTCAGGGTTTAGGACTTACATCCATATTTTTAGGGAACACAATTCAATTCATAGCAACTTGTTATTTTAAAATAACAAGGCTTAAATTGGATTGCTTTCCATGAAAATTCTGAATTAGAGGGACAGGATGTGGGAAAGGCAGGAAGGACCAGTAGGCTCTTGCCAGAGGAAATAGGAGGAGAATGCCGAGTCCCTAGGTGGTGCAAACCGTTAACTCTCTCAACTGCTAACCCAAAGATTGAAGGTTTGAGGCCCCCAGAGGCACCTTGAAAGAAAGGGCTTGTTGATCTACTTCTGAAAAATCAGCAATGAAAACCCTGTGGAACACGGTTCTACTTTGACACACATGGGGTTGCCATGAGTCAGAATCAACTGGACGGCAACAGGTTTTCATGAGAGCGAAGAGGCCAGGAAACAGGAGAGGAGGGTGTATGACTTGAGGGCTAGACTATCTAAAGGTACATATAGTCTTTGCTGGGCCAATTGAATATTTTTCTATTCAAATGATATTAGGGAAAAAAGATTCAATAGATCCCCATAGAAGCAACTCTATGAGGACGAAAGTATTTTTATAGTTTTTATTTTCATTAATTTTCCTTCTATTTTATGTATCAGTTATGGAGGCCAGGAGGAATTGGCCTGTGTTCCTAACAGTCGGGCAAGCCCCCTTAAGCTGCCTTTAGGCTTAAATGCTAGGTAAAGTTTCACTCTTTGTGGTTTCCATCTGTATCATTTCTCAGTAAATGCATTTTAACCTCTTTGGTGCTAGGGCTGATGATTTAGGATACATTTTTCTGTGGTTGAGTAGGGTAATCAGATTATAAGACTTCTCAGTGGTAGAGCTGACATCTAAAATTGTGTTTTCCCATCTTTGGTATCTGAAATGAGAAGTAAAAATCATCTTTTCAGGTTTACATGCCAAGACACTCCTAGTAGAGTAGGTTGCAAATAAAGTAAATGCTGTTTTGGGTGTCTGGTAATCTTTTAATTATGAAATAAGCCTTTTGATTTTAATCTTTCAAAACGTACAGTGCTGATCCAGGAAAACAACCTTTTTAAAGCTCACATCCTGCTGACTCCTTCAGATGAAAAGCTTCTACCTCTACCCCATATTTTGCAAACTGACATAAAAATATCATTAATTGTGTCTCAGTTCCACCACTGTCTATAAAAAACTGTTCATTTTGGAGTCAGTCCTCAGCCATGAAGGCCATAGTGCAGAGCGAATTCCTGGATTTCTGGAGCCGGGACCCTGTGCTGGAAGATCACAGCCAGTTAATGGAGGTCTCAGTCCAGGAGTGGGCTAAGGGACTTGGGCCTTCATTAACTCACATCCCTTGTCAATTCTTCCTGGACCTGTCCTCGCCGCCTTCCACACACGTACATATATATGCACAACAAAACTTGGATACTGATACTTTTTATTGTTTTTGTTCTTTTGCGGCATCTGAAACAGCTTGTACAATGAGGACAGAAACCTGCTTCGAATTAGAGATAAGGAAAGACGCAACCAGGAAGCTCACCAAGAGGAGGCATTTCCTGAAAAGATTCCCCTTTTTGGAGAGCCCTACAAGGTATTTATTGTGTATTATAAAATGGAAGTCTGATTTATCACAGTATTTAACTCTGTGATGAAAAGAACTCAAGAGGTCCTAACTGAAAATAAGATAACTTGTCCTAGGGATTGGGTTTGAAAATAAAGTATAAAAAGTTCTCTGAGCATAGTTAGTCAGAATCAGTCATAGTTTGTGGTTTTCTTTTGTAATGTTTGTCTCTGATATGTAGTAATGTGTCTGACAGAATTCTCAATAGGGGAATAGAGTTAAAATTGCACCTTAAATTTTATATGCTACACATTACATTTTGAGAGTTTCTTAAAATGGTATTTTGTAACATGATTTATTAAATGGTTGTTTTCTGTCATTTTTTCTTCAGTGTCTAACTCTCTTTCATTTACTTTTCTTTTTTTCAGACAGAAAAAGGCGATGAGCTATCTAGTCGAATACAAAACATGCTGGGAAACTATGAAGAAGTGAAGGAATTTCTTAATACCAAGCCCCATCCTCATCGCTTTGATGTTTCTGAAAATAGATTGGGAAAGCCAAGGTATCCTTTATTTCCTGAAAAGGGGAGCAGCATTCCACCCCACTCCTTCCACACTAGTGTTCACCACCAGCCAGTTAACACTCCTGCCTCTGGACCACTTCCTGTTGGTAACATCAGCCACAACCCAAAGATGGCACAGCCAAGAATGGAACCAAGTCTCCGTGCTAAAAGCTATGGCCCACCAGACAGCCAGCACCTGACCCAAGATCGCTTTGGTCAGGAGAGATATGGCTCTAGCCATCACAAAAAAGGTGACCACAGAGCTGATGGAGACCATTGTACTTCGATGACAGACTCAGCTCCAGAGAGGGAACTTTCTCCCTTACTCTCCTCTTTGCCGTCCCCAGTACCCCCTTTGTCACCTATACATTCCAACCAGCAAACTCTTCCTAGGACACAAGGAAGCAACAAGGTTCACAGCAGTAACAATAACAATAAAGGCTACTGCCCGGCCAAATCTCCCAAGGACCTAGCCGTGAAGGTCCACGATAAAGAGACCCCTCAAGACACTTTGGTGGCACTTACCAGCCTTGGGGTAGCCCCTCCCCAGCCGTCTTCTCAGACATTTCCCCCACCCTCCCTCCCCTCAAAAAGTGTCGCAATGCAGCAGAAGCCCACAGCTTATGTCCGGCCCATGGATGGTCAAGATCAGGCTCCTAGTGAGTCTCCTGAACTGAAACCATTGCCGGAGGACTACCGTCAACAGACTTTTGAAAAAACAGATTTAAAAGTGCCTGCCAAAGCAAAGCTCACCAAGCTGAAAATGCCTTCTCAATCAGTTGAGGTGAGTAGAATTTCATACCTTGGGCAAATTCCAGTTTGAAGATAGATTTGAGATGGAAGTGTCTGGCAGATGGAGCGTCAGTGGCTTTTGGGTAGAGAAATTTCTTTTTGGATTTAGGATCTTGTTAACCTATGAAAAACTCAGATAAGATGGACTACTGATGGCATCTTGACATACATTTTGCAGAAAGGTTTAAAATTTTAAAAATTGTGCAATAACTTATATATAGTAAAACAGATCTTAAGAGTAAAGTTTTGTGTTTTGAAAAGTTTATACACCTGTGTAACCCATACCCAATCAAGATAGAGATTTTTATCACCGGAAAGTTTCAGGAGGGTTTTGTGCTGCCTTTGCTTTCTTGTTTGTGGGGGGGCGGGGGGTGGCAGAGGGGAACTTTTAACAATGCAAAGAAAAAAAGTTTTTGGATTAATCTTTTCTTAAACTCCAACTAGTTTTTACTGAGGCCTAAACCATAAAAAAAAGTAAAGAGGTCAAAATGGTAAAGGCAAAGCCTTTTATCTTTATTTTTGAAAGATTTGCTCCCTGTAAGTTGTAAGAAACTTTAAAAACTAAAGTTCTGTTCTGATATATATATATTTTTCAACCACCTGACAAAGAAGAGTAGACCTATGGTGACATCTCATTTGAAAGTGAGTCATAAATATAATACAGAATGTTACTCTACTATTGATTTTTAAAGTAACCAAAAATGATGTATTTTTTAAACAAAGAAAAAATTCATTTTTCTACTCAGTTAATAAATGACAGCATTATGTTTCAATGGAGAGAATCAGAAGTATCTATGAACTTTTAGTATCAGTTACTACAAAATTAAGGGTAGTTTTTTAAAGTTTATCTGTTAGTGGTATCTTAGCTGTATTGGATAAACATCCTAATTTGTAGATCCTTTACTCAAAGCTATGTGCCTACCAAGATAATCAGCCTTACTTAATGCCAGAAGATAGAATTCCTTGAGGTTAAAAGAAAACAACAACAAAGAAACTTTAGGATCCTTAGCTGGAAAGATAATCCTTATCTTTAAGGAGGAAAATCTGCTTCTTTGTGGTGTCACTTTGGGTTTAGAAGAGGTTGGGTTCTGTCCTAAAGTCAGCTTTTGAGTTCCAAGTGCTTCTGGGTGTCTTCAGAATGGGACTTAGCTTGGAGGCTGAGGAAGAATGAAGGGGGAGGAGTAAAGCAAATGGTAGAAATGACCTTAATGGCAGAACTCCACCTTTGACCCCAGTTTATGAAGATTCAGCTCAATGAACCATTTATTGAACATTTTATGCTGTGATGGGAAGTAGGAGTTAGAGGACTAGATGTGAAGGCAAAGAGCATAAAAATGAGATCTTCCTCCTAAAAAGGTCGGTCAGCCTTCCTTATAATATAGAGAATGAAGAACATAATGGTGTTCTTTGCTTTATTTATCACATAGGATTTGTTGTGTTTTTCTGGTTTAAAAAGCAGAAAGGGAACAATGTAATGTTCTCAAAACAAAAAACCTAACTAAACTACTAAAAAGAAAATTGCTTTAAAACAGTTTTTGAGACAAATTGGCCAGTATTTGTGTTGCCTACCAAATACCCATCAATATGCTTAAATGGAGGTTGGGATGACAGAGAGGTATTGGTCCCTGTCCCAGGAGATATTATAGTCTAGGGTGGAGATCAACCTACACACTTGAAACAATTAGAGAAAATTGAATAAAACTATCAAATGTCAGTGTTAAAACAGCAAACCTGTATAAATTCAGCCAGTAGGTTTCCCAGTAGATGCTTCAAGGGAGATAATCCTGATTAACTTTTTGCTTCTTTGGGGAAAATAAACTGAGTCAAAATTTTTACCAGGATTTTAAAATCCCTCAGATTTAACATATGTATTTCAAACACAAATATATTAGAAGATGGCCCTTGCGTATTTTCTGAGGAGTGGGAATTTGAAATGAACAAAATCCTCCAAAATTTGGTGATGGGAGAATGGCGTTTTCTTGGCACAAACGCATCTGCTGTTAACAATTGAGTAGATGTATACTTTTAGTCTGCCTCTGTTTGAAGTTAGCATTCCTTATGCTATGCCGGCTCTCTCTGGTCTCTGTGTAGGGTTCTCTTGCCAGTGGCAGCTGCAGAGCCACCTGCCTGGGAGCTCTGTGGAGGTGTTGGTTGAGTGGGAGGATGAAACTGAGAGGTTGGGCAGATGCAGTGCTCCGAGTGACCTGTGAGGGGGATTAGGAGCTAAGAGCTTGGAATGAAGAGTGTGGAAATCTGGGAAGTAGGAATATGGGAGCTGTCTGGCTAGGTTTTGAGTTAGCTTTTTTAACTTCACCTCTCATGGATATGCCATTACTTTTTTGTTCACGCCACCAAATTGAGTATGTCTTTTATGTTTTACAAGATGTAGGTTGAATTTAAAATCTCAAATTTTAATGTTTCTATAAACCCAAGGAAGGCATGGAGAAAGGGACCCCAAAAAGCAAAGAACTAACCCTAAAATAGGTATATTTTGAATTTTCTGGAAGCAGTTGCTGTCAAGTTGATTCTGACTCATGGTAGGCCCATGTATGTCAGAGTACAGTGTGCTCCATGGGGTTTTCATTGCTGATTTTTCAGAAATAGATCACCAGACCTTTCTTTGGAGGAGCTTCTGTGGACCTCCAACCTTTTGGTTAGCAGTTGAGTGCGTTAACCGTTTGCACCACCCAGGGACTCAGTACTTTGAAAACAAAACTAGAATATTAGTCTGTGTTATTTTTGGAGTTGGAGTAGAAGGATAGAGAATGAGGGGCAGAAGAGAAAGTTGACTAGTAGTAGAGCTGAGAGAAGGGAAGTGGAGTTAAGTGGTTTTTCTTTATTTGCTTAATTCATTGTAAGGCAAGTCAGAGGGAATTTTCTCTTTCCTGGCTCTCTAAGTGTGAGGGTGATTGGATTTTGCTGTTTGTTTTATTACTACTACCCACCCCCGTTCCCCATTGCTTCCATGAAACACTGTATTTTTTTAATGAACCACAACAGGAAAGTCATCTTGTCTTTTAGAGTTTCTCCATTCTTAAGCCACATAAGCATGGATCCCTTATGCTATTCTTTGTCCTTTCACCTCACAGGAAAAAGTAAGTTTGTATATTTTAGTTGGTTCTCTAAAACATAGTACTGTTCCCTGGCATAAGTCATTCTCACAGTTAAATCTTAGTCTTTCCTAAAATTCTAAAGGAAAAAAAATATCAAAAGGTCAATATTCTGACTGTTTAGAGGTCTGAACCACAAAAATCTGTACTGGATGTTCTTTGGGAGTGTCAGTTTTAGTTCTGTGTCAATTGGAAGATGAATAGCAGTGTGAAATGAGCTTTTTGGAGGTAGGGCTAGGACTCAGTGATCTCTTGAGGGTACCCTCCAGCTTTACAGTTAACCATGTCAGAGCTAGACCTGCCTGATTGGAAGATTGGGAATTCTCTATATCCCTTTTTTCTTCTTAAAGATCAATAGAAGAGAGAAAAACCACGGTCTCTGTGTGTGAGTGTTCATGAGCATGGGTCCCTGGGCTGTGGAAGAGAGCCTAGATACAGATTAAAAAAGATACAGATTTATGCAAAGGCCTTCGGTTGAAAGGAAGAAATGTGTACTGGATTTAGAATATTAGAATTTTAAAGCTAAACATCCAGTCTTTTCATTTGCATATCGGCCCAGGAGGATGAAGTTATAGTTGGTAGCAGAGCCAGAGCTAGAGCTCCCAGTTCTTTGGTCTTTATACTTGTTGTCTGGTGGTGCAGTGGTGGCAGTGTGGTGATGGTTGTGATATGAGTATTTTTAACATGAGCTGGGCTTTCTCACCCAGACTGAAACTCCAGCAGAGCTTTGGGGTTGGGGGGGACACAGAGACAGTCAACCTCATTTCGTGTGTGTGTTTCTTGACCCTAGCCTTTTTGTCTTTCATGCTTTTAATTTTTTTCATTCTTTTATTCATTCGGCAACATTATATTGGAGCCCTACTATTTTCCAGGCACTGTACTAGGCCCTGGGGATATAGCTGTGATCAACCTAGACAAGGTCCCTGCTCTTGTATACCTTGTGTTCTATAGTGGGCATAGACAGTTAACATATAAACAGAAATTACAGGCTTTGATAAAAGTGCTCTAGGAAGTAAGGAGGGTGTGAAGAACCAGAGGTCACTTTTAAAAGGGTGGTCAGGAAAGGGCCCTTGAGGAGATGACTTACACAGAGATGTGAAGAATAAACAGGAGTCGGTTATGCAGAGTTAGAAAAGGCATTTTATTTCAGGCTCAGGAGACAGAAAGTGCAAATGGCCTGGAGGGGAAAAGGAATGGATGACTTTGTCAAGAACAGAAATGAGGGCAGTATGGCTGTAGTACAAGAGGAGAGGGAGGATGTGAGATGAGATGGGAGGAGTGGGCAGGAGTGAGACCATGCAGGCAAGGCCTTGTAGGCCGTGCTAAGTGCGCTAGCTTCCTAGGACTGCCATAACAAATTAACCACAAACTCGGTGGCTTAAAACAACAGAAATTTATTCACTCAGAGTTCTGGAGGCCAGAAGTCTGAATCAAGTCGTCAGCCGAATTGGTTCCCTCTGGAGACTCTGAGGGAGAATGTATTGCATGCCTCTCTCCTAGGTTCTTTCTGGAGGCTGTCAGCAACCCTTTCCTGGGCTTGTAGCTGTATAAATCCAATTTCTGCCTCTGTCTTCACATGACCTTCTCTGTATCTTTATGTCTCAAATCTCCCTCTCCTTTTTCTTATAAAGACACCAGTCATTGGATTTAGGGCTGTCTTAGTCATCTAGTGCTACTGTAACAGAAATACCACAAGTGGATGGCTTTAACAAAGAGAAATTTATTTCTTCACAGTGAAGTAGGCTAAAAGTCCAAACTCGGGGCATCAGCTCCAGGGGAAGGCTTTCCCTCTCTGTTGGCCTTCTCATCAATCTTCCCCCGGACTCGGAGCTTCTCCGTGCAGGGACCCTGGGGTCCAAAGGACACACTCTCCTCCTGGCAC